GTCTGGTTTGTAACGCCTGGTCCACAATGGTCCCCCGGCGTGGTGACGCCGTTTGGACCTCGCGACGATGTGAGCTGCGCCACCTGGCTGCGTGGGCGGAGTGCGTGCTAACACGCAGGCAAATCAATGTGTCTACCGATAGAGTTGGCGTCCGACACCGTACGCCTCTAACAGTTCTCGTCCCGTCTTGTTGCCGGCTCGCGTCATTATCTGCGTGTTGGCGAAGTCGAACTCATGGCCTTCTCCAGCATGTGAGTGGTGACTTGAGATAGTGGTTCGCCTCTTCGAACGGCCCCTTTGTGCTCAAGTATTTGTGAGCTGAGACGTCGTCCTGGTTAGCCTGTGTAATAGTAGGGACAGTTATGGCTCGGGATTAGTCAAACTGCCATTAGTCTAGGCTTCCCTTCAAACCGGAAGCGAAGAAGCTTGACTGTAATACACTGAGTGCAGTACCTTTTAAGCACCAAACTTGCGAACTAGTTAGTCACAATGATGTAACTGACATCAGTGAGTTGGGAGACGCACTGTTTGCGTGAGATGTTCGGCTGCATCCAAAAGTTTGACTGTCGCGACAGACAATGCCCACCACCTGGGTGAGATCGGGTTCGGTGATTTGAGCGTGATTTGTTTTACAGTGATAGTAAACTCGCCCAGCACACACCGCACTATCTCCCCCTCTACCACCTGAACCTGGTGTAAAGACATGGTCACTAAGGTCGGAGGGGGGAGAGAGCACAGGTCGCTGACATAGCCGGACCCGCACCTAGGTGTTCCACGACATCCCCTGGTCCACAACAAACAGCTCAACAGAATTTTTATTACTAGCAATGATGAAGGGTTTCATGACTCCCAACTTGTGCGATTTGAGCCAGAAACTGAGTCCGCCGTCACGGCCTACAGTAGGTGGGCTAAATTATGAAATGCCAAGTGAAGTTCCGAAATGCTTTTTTGTCTCGAAAATATTAATTAAGTAAGATTGTAAAACCAATCAGCCTGCAGCATACTTTCATAATAATTTAGTTACCTCAGGATGCCGGCCTTCAAAAGAACGTTCGTCCGGCAGCATTGAAAAACTTCACTCAGTAAAAATGCCTACTTAATCGGCATTCATTTTTCTATTTAATTTTCGATGCCTCTATAAGTCCATTTATATTTCATGGAAAAAATGAATAAAGATATTCATTCTTTCATTTATTCGGTAAATATTACGTCTTTTTTTAAGTTTGTGTTCGAAGGAAGGACATAATTCGGTTATAAAAAATTTCTTATTGTGGGACTTTTTAATACCGTGAAATGACCGTGCATAAAACGTCACTCTGCATTTACCAATGTGACTTGTAACGTTAACCTTATGGATGGAATCTAATGCTAAATTTTATGAACCCAATATGGTCTCCTCTTAATACAGTAGAGAAATATGTGGTTATCCGTACGCCAAACTAAATGGCTTGTAGTTTGGAAACCCTGAACGCAAGTGTGACGGCAGAGCCGGTTCAAAATTAATAGGAACTTGGAAAGGTTTTTAGAAACCGAATCATACACTTCCTTCAAATATGACATTGGAAGAGGACGTAACTGTCAACCAAACGAGCGGGGGAATGAATATTTTTAAGCATGTGTTTTTCATGAAATACTAATGAAATTTTCAAGGCAGCGAAAATCAATGAGGAAATTGCGTGCTACTTAAGTAGTCATATTTTACTGAGTATAGTTTCCGCCTGCAACCGGAAAGAAGTTCTTTCGAAAGTCGGCATTCCGAGGTAAGTACATTATCGTGAAATCATACTGCAGGTTTATAAGTTTTACAACCCTACTTAATTAATCTTTCCGAAACGAAAACACATTTCGGAATTTCGGTTGACGTTTCATGAGTCAGTCCACTTACTGTAAATGTTATGGCTACGCATTCTTGATAAAGCCTTCTTTAATGCTTACTTGCTTCCTTGTTGGTCCAGCGCACCTACCGCGTAGCGCACTGAATGAACATCCGCTGATGCCAGCATGTCAGTATCTGACCTTAAAAACGGTTTTGAGTGATTGTGCTTCTGCTGATAATCGTAAATTTTGTGGATTATTGTGATTTTGCGCGCTTGTGACTAAACGAATACAGGCCTTTCCAAAGTCTTCAGATCGTCAACAAGAGCAGGGGAAAAATGTGATGTCTTTTTAACGTTTGCTCGAGCATAATCGATCACGGTACAGTCACCGAATTTCCCCTAGCGTTATGAGACAATAATCTTCCCCGGACCTTAGCAGGCATTAGATATCAGCAGTTGGTAGTGTGCTTAACGAAATGGCTGTCTGGAACATTGTTGTTCCGGGGTTCAATAGCTAGGCCTGGTGCTATTCATCCGACTGAAGCCATTCTATCGCCCCAGAGACTCAAAACAACAGCCTTATTGAAAATGCTTGTCTTTCGATAGGAGTCGCTTCTTCTCAAAGCTACAACCGATGGATGCGGATAATATTAGCGCGATTTAAATCACGCATCAGACCCCTTGTTGAATCATTGCCCGAATAATTCCTCAGCTGAAGCTGGTTTGCAGGGCGTCTTTCTAACACGATCATGTTGTGTAGGTCATTTTAGGTCAAGACCATTTATGGCAAGCGTACGCTGCTTCCATCTGATTTATATTAGTTAAGATTTAAGAAGGTCAGAAAATGCAGTAGGCGCGATATTTGATATAGCATTAGCCAAAATTCTGAAAAGTATTTTTGATTTAAAAAAGATTTCTTAGGCAGGAGTGCTTTATTAATCATCATGCAGCATAATCCCCAGGTATTTCAGTCACTTCTGGATGCCGGCCTTTGCACAAACTTGGTTCCAGGTACATTTTTTATTAATGCGAATTTTCCTAATTGATTTTCCATATCCTCATACGTTTAAATGTATCTCATAGACAAAACGACGGAAGACCATACTTCGTTTGTTCATTTGTTCGAAAATTACGCCTTATTCACATTGTATATTTAAATGAAGGGTATATGTTTGTTTAGAACCTGAGCTGTCACTACACTTTCATTCAGGTTTTCTTACCTACCAGCTGTATATTTTCCGTATAGGGAAAATCATGCATTTATATACGCAGTTATGGGGAGGCTATATGGAACTCATAGAATTTGGCGGTGGATTTAAGCCATGGTGTAAAATTTTCAAGCAGCATTTGTAGATGTACAGACGAAATATTCATGAACAGGCATGTCACAGTCTTGAATAACCACCTCCTTCAAAACTCTGTTAAAATCCCATTCTCCCTTTTC